CAGAACCCCATTTTTGCCTCCCCCGTCTCCGTAGAACTCGCACAATTACTTCCATGGCGTGCCATCATGGACAGAGGCGTTTCAACGGAGGATTATTTTTATTATTATTGATTAATTTGTATTGAGAAATACTGATATCTTAGGGCTTAGTTCGCAATATTATAATATTTACGTAAAAATATACTTTACTTAAATGCATATTTATTTAAAGGTTTTTAAAAATTCGATTAATAAAAATTATAGCTAATAAAATTTTATGGCAGTGCACCCCAGACTCCTCCTTGCTGCCATTGTTAACTTAGCTTCTTGAAAAACAAAAAGTGTTGACAAAGTCATTGTTTGTGCCAGCTAGAAGAAGCAAGCCTCAGCGTCGATTGTATAGAATGATGTGTTATTGTCACATTTGTGTAAATACGCGATAATAAGGAATATGCAATAAACCTAAAATATGAACATATTCCTGGATAATTTGAATTATCTCAGAAGTAAAATATGCTATTAAAGTAATTGAATTGAAATTACTTAAAATCTCAAATAATAAAATAAATAAAAATTACATTTATGATTTGAGATTCGAACTTAAGCGTTTGTATGGAATTGGCTTAACTCCTTCACGCCTTACGATCTGAGCAACCGTAAGGAAATCCGCGCCGCTTACCACTATTATATTGCTATCTTTTGCCTATTAGATACTGTTCAGTGCAAGCCACAAAAGTTTGATGAATTTATTTATAATTACTTATTTGTTGTAAATTCTGCGCGATTTAACAATAATCCTGCTTATATAATTTGAAGGTTTATTTAAAATTACAAAATTTATGATTTTTGTAATGTGCAAATGTAAATCAGATGCGCATAATTCATTTAAGAACATTCTTTGTTCTTTTTTATAGCCTTTATGGTATTCAAAGAGTCGAAGTTTTATTTTTCGATGTCCCTCTATGAAAAGCTCAATTTAGTACTTCTTAACATTTGCGCCTTCTCTATTATTAACATTCTCTTGCAGTAGTCTAAAAATTGCAATTTTGAAAACTTGAACTTTTGCTAAAAAGTCGAATAATATGTAAACCATATGTATAGTTTGTAGTGAAACGTGGAATTTAATTGAACATATATATATTCATTAAATGGTTATAGCATACGTATTAATCAAAGCAGTATAAAATAAGGCATATGGAGTAATAATGCATGTCTCAAAATGCCTAAAACACCCACATCCGTAGATACTATCGGGCGTTGCAATTTTCCTCTACATGTATAAGTATTAACAATAATTTAAATTAAAGGTAACTGGAATGTACAGGTGTCAACATCCCTGAGAATTAATTTATTAACAATTTAAAGAAATACATGGATACTAATTCTAAGATTAAAAACCATATATTAGTGGAGACTTCATAATATAAATTTAAATGATGTAGACTATCACTCAGATCTACTACTATCAAGTGTTAAGATATGAATTATACCGTTTTTTAATAATATTACCAGGCCTTATAGAGGATGGATCTGTATAGATAATATGTCGTTAAAACAAATATAATTCGATAAATAGTAAATCTAATTGTAGTAAAGACTTATGAATTAAATAATAAATTAGGTAAAAATGTAAAGGCATCTAAAGATATAGACTACTTAATCGAACATGATGTGAAGATCACTAACTCTGCCGAAATTGCTGATACTTTTGTAAATTTTTAGTAATATGGTATAAATTTAGCTGCTAAAATGAAAAACAGATAACAGTACGGTGATAATAATAGAAAATAATGCTAAATAAATTTGTTAAGCCAACTGATGAACAAGAAATTGAAAAGTAATCAGAAACCTAAAAGACAAGCGGGAAGTTGGAATTGACACTAAACACTAAAGTCTTAAAAATAATCAGTACATTTATTAGTAAACCATTGGAATTTATCTTAATAACTGTATGACTATGGGAATATGGCCAAATGGATAAAATGTGCAGAAATCCTACCAATTTATAAATCAGGAGACAAACAAAAACTAATAACTATCATCCAATATCCTTAATTTCTAATACAGCAAAAGTTTTGAAAAAATTATCATAAACGAATTTATAACTTCTAACAGACTCAAAAATTATGCGAAAAACCAATATGGCTTCTTAAAAAATAAAGGCACTAGATGGAATAGTAGCAATTACCACAGTTTTATATACACTAATACTGATAAAAATAATTCAACAGTGATTCCGGATTTAGCGAAAGCTTTTGATACAGTAGATCATGTTATTGCTGGATAAATTATATAAATATAGAATCAAGGAACCGCTTTTGATTTAATTCTGACTACCTTAAAAACAGATATCAAGTGGTTAAAGTTAACGGGTAAAAAGGAAATAATGTAAGTTCAATAGGGTGCCGCAAACGTACAATCTTGGGACCACTGCTTTTTCTCTATATGTAAATGATAATCTTTTGGAACTACCTGAAAACTGTTTATCAGCTATGCAGATTATACAATAGTAAATGTATAGGTAAATCTGGGCGAAGCTCAATCACAAAATGAATGTACAGTTAAGTTTAATAAGGAATTGATGTTAATAATTACTTAACTCTAAATGTTGAACAATAACTATATAACTTTCGGTTCATATAAAAGACTATTCCAGAAAGTTTTGAGTTAAAAATGTATGATAAGACCATTAAAAGAACTGATAATTGTAAAGACTTAGGTATATATTTTGATAGTCACATGAGATGGGATATTCAATCAAAGAAGTCATAAAAACTAGATATTTCTATTTATATTCCAAAGTTTAAAATATAATGAAAAGAAAGCACTAAAAACAATTTATTACGCTTATTTGTATAGTATAGTCAACTATCAGTCAATTATTGCCTGGGGTAGTTATAAGAATGTTACAAATTTTAATAAAATACGAGATAAATTAATTAATCATTTATGTGATAAAACCCGTACTGGGTATAAAAGAAATTTATTTCTGAGTCATTATGTTATCATTATTCCGATTGTAGAGAGGTATTTAATGAATATAAAGGTAAGGCTAAACTGTTACAGTTACCAAAGATTAATAAAAATAGATATCTTACAAAGACTCGAAATATATAGCACACTACAATATGTTACCGCTGACTCTAAAATTGTTAAATATTGAAAATAAAGCAAGCAAAAGAAAATAACTGAGTGGATTGTAGACACTGATATTAACAATTCTATGTTTTCTTTTGTTTTTCAATTATAAATGACATTTTATTATAGATAGTGCTTAATTATAACAAACTAATATTACCAGGCCTATGTACAGGTGTTTTGTAACACCTCTATAGGCATACTTTATATGTAATATTTACTTTGTATCCTGGGATAAATAAATGAAATAAATAAAATCTATATAGATATATATACAAGTGAATGACAGTGTAGTAACATACATAAACACATCGAAAACAAAAAAAAACAAACAAACAATGATTTAGGCTACCAATTTGCTTGTTAAATGGAGACCATTTGTTTTTGTTTGTCAATATGATAAAAATGCATTTCTAAAAATATATGAGTTACTGATTCAACTTACCTCCATGAAACACTCACAAGAAGTTCAGCCGTAATTTTACTAAAGCTGATATAGCTTATAATAATTCTTCGTCCATCCTCTGGTAGATGCCACTATTTCTTTGCTTGGGACGTGTAGAACTACAATTGATGCCGGAGCCGTTTCGGCTTAAAATACATAATAGATATATACAGGTCATTCCATCGAAAATTACATTCAAAATTTTTCGTACAAAAACTTTTTCGTCTTCTTTGAGCAAAATATTGGAAACATATTTTTTATTTCACTCAATATGAAAAATTTTAAGCTATGAATTTTCGAAATTTCAACTTTTGGAAAAGTACCTTTAACATTTGCGAATTCGAAGAAAGTAGTTCTATATAAGAATACCATAACTAGCCGGCCTATTCTTTACGATTTTTCTAAGCTATCTAATGGATAAATGTTGAATTTATTCGACTTTTTATGAATAAATAATTTTTCCATTTTGAACCAATTTATTCAGTTTCTTTATTGAAAAATAAAGCATACAAATAAATACCTTTCACAAAAATCGGATTGATACACCAGTGTTTGTTCTTTAATTTAACATATTTTCTTCATAACGAGGTGTAAATGATTCAGAATAATTCTAAAAATATCTAATACACTTGTTTCCAAGATATTTATTATTATACCTAAACAGGGTATATTAAGTTTGCTACGAAGTTTCTTACACCAGAAGAAACGTCGAGACAGTATACTCGTAAAATTTATATATAAATGACAGCGTGACGAGCTGTGTCGATTTAGCCATGTCCGCCCGTCTGCCTGTCTGTATATACTAAAGTAGACTTTTAGTTTTTGAGATATTTTGAGATACAATTTTTCACACATATTTTTCTCCCGAAGAAGCCGCTCATTTGTCGAAACCGCTGCTATCGAATCACATTAATAATATATAGCTGCCATAAAAACTGAGCGATCAAAATGAAGTTCTTATGTTATATGAAAGCTTTTTCATTGGTGAAGGGTATTCTAACTTTAGTTTTAATATAAAAATTTTGACTTTGATCTTTGAAAATTGCGAGAGTATAAAAATGAAAACTGTAATATAGCTATAAAACACTTACGATACGAGTATTAAAATTTTATTATTTGCTTTAATGTAATCTAATTGTCTAAGTGTAGCAACTACTTTAAATACTTACCTATAACCAAATCATCTCCATTCCAAGGGTGCCAATCAAAATGAGTGTGCAGTTTGCGTTTTGAACAAACTACTAGATATACATCACAGGAACACCAATTATATACGACGATATCTCCACTTGTATCCCCGCTGGCAATGTATCTCATATTCGGTGACAGCATTATTCTGTTAATCGGCAACTTGTGACGCCGAACCTTTCTTACTACTTTTAAATCCGGCACAGAGAGAACATATAAGCACCCCAACCCTGTTCCGCCTATAATTTGTGATCCAGAGTGGTTCCATATTAAGCAATGCAAGTCTGAGTGGTCTGCAGAGAATACTTTTCCATTTATGACCAAAGACTTTGTTGAATTAACAACTTTCCACAATTCTAAAACTAATAAAAATAATTATTATTATTCAAATGTATAATTTAAAATAATTTTAAATACTCTTTGCAAGCGGTTAAATTCATATATTATATTTGTGTGTACCAACATGTGTATATAAATATATAATATAATATATACACTCCAGTTCACTTATAGCATTTTCTTTTCAAGATTAAAATGTTCCCTCATTATATGGCAACATTATATAAGTGCCCCATTACACCTTATAAAAATGTTCCAATTTTTGGATGACAAAAGAACGAAAAATATCAACCTACTCCCTTGTAATTTTCATTATCGAGCTTAAAAAATTGATCGATTCATTACAAATAGTAAATTTAAAAAGAAATAACTATTAATAAGTAAGGAAGGACAACTTAAGGTTTTCGAATATATTTTAATTAAAAGAAGGAAGTATTGCAGTCATAAGTAACAATCTGAATATACACTATTGTTAGAAAAACATTCTTTCCGAATTTCATAAAGATTTTTTACATATTGACCTATACCATAGATGCGATATAAAGTCAACCGGAAGTTCGAAAGTATTTATATTATTATTATATTGAAAAGTTATAGTCCGATTTTGACAATTTTAGGACATATGATTAAACATCTTGAGGGTACTATTTGTGCAAATTTTTACTCTGCTAACTGCATTGATGTTTTACAAGTATTTGTATATTAGAAAGTGAAAGAATCAGATGGAATTAAAGTTATGTTATACGGGAAGTCGGCGTGATTTATCATCTGATTTCGCCTAGTATCTGAGAGAAATGTTTCATTGTTCAATTTTTACACCGGGTCCTATAAGCCCTTCGCTACCATGCTAGTTGTGAAAGATAAAGCTTGTTGCCATTTTCACAGCGTATGAAAAAGTGCTAAAAATACTTCCTCCTAGAAAATTTGGTTGAATTAGCTTCAGCGGCTTGGATGATTTGTACATTAAACCACTTAGGGAGCGGGGCTACTCCCACTTTAAAAAAAAAATTTCTGTCACTAGGTGTCCCTTGTTACCTTGATCCCCTGTACCATATTACAGTTCGATATCTTAGTTTAGTGCTTAATTATGGAACTATAGGGTCTCGTTTAATGGCGTTTTATGGGCAGGGAAGTGGTCCGATTACGTCCATCTGCAATACCGAGTACCTTTGGGTGCCAAAGAACATATGTAGCAAGTTCATCAATATATCTCAACTTTTACTCAAGTTACGACGTGCACAGGCAAAGAAGCGGACGGACAGACAGTCACCCGGATTTCAACACATTTCGTTAACCTTATCATTTATATATATAACTCTATACATATATTTCCGTTAGAGGAACAAAAGTATTGTACTCTGTAGCAACATGTAACAAGAGTATAAAACTTTTGAATTCCAGACAGAATTCCATAGTCATTATCCGACGAAACCGTCAATATTTATATTAAATTCAACATAATGTACTAAAATGAGAAATATGTGATATAAACTCAATCCAAAGCGACTTTATGTAAAATCATGGGTAAACCAGGAAAAGGTCAATCAAATAATCAGAAATCGGAAATTGATTGCACGCCCTACTATCGGAGTGGATGCTCACTTCTACAAACGAGGCTGCACTACGCGGCAGTACTTCTACCGCCACCTTGATAGTAGCCACTTCCGCCTGAAAAACACTACAGTGGTCCGGTAGCCTGAAGCTAAGATTGACGGAGAGCTCCTTGCAGAAAACCCCCCTCCAACCCTCCCTCCTAGCCTTGATCCATCCGTGAAAAAGCTCACCGCGCCTCTTCTCCAGCGGCTTCTTCCCATCCACATGTCCCTCGTTGGAATATGAGCGAAGAAGGAGCCGCCTCGAGTGGCCTCAGTGACAGAGTGATCTAAATTTTCCGGAATACAGCTGAAGGAGGAAAGAATTTCGGAGTGTTCTTGTTCGGACCTCTTCAAAAGCCCAGCTTCCCTGAGCCTTAGAGCACACTTCGAAGCAATGCACTTACCGGCAATGACCACCGGTGCTATGTTTAAAATAGCATTAAGGGCTATTGTAGGTGTGGTCCGCAGTGCACCGGAGATTCCGATGAGCGCCGCTCTTTGGACCCGCTCAAGCTTTTTAGCCAGTGTGGACCTTTCGAGCGCCTTCCCCCAGACGAACACACCATAGAACATTATTGGCTTAACTACAGTTTCGTAGAGCCACCTTAGGTGAGAGTCCCCAAGATCATTTAGGGGCAAAATTTGTCTCGTTTTTGGCACCAAGTAAAGAGAAAAATGCTCTCCAAGCTTTACTAAATAACTCACATATTGACCATTTTATTGTATATGGAATAAGTCAATTTAAAAGAAGATATCGCAAAAAAAATTTGTAGAGAGAGTGTCTTTAGAGCGTGGCATCTTACATCTAAAAATTGTCGAAATCGGATCGTAACTTTTCAAGCTCACAGATACCGACATTGAGGTTAGTTTGTAACTGATATTTTATTTAAAATATAGGTAAATTTTTAGATATATGTATTATTAAATTCAGAGAAAATATTTTTCTAATAATAGTGTGCCCTTCTGTCAAAAAGGCGTAAAACCGAGTCAAAACATCCCCTAGCCCCCGTACACCCAATATAAAGAATTTCGAATTTCAGGTTGACTATATACGATATATATATAAAAAAAATTTTAATATAACATTTTGTCAACACCTGAAGTTATTTTCCCAGCTTTGATCCTTGAATGTAGCGAAATTATAAAATGTTCGGTTACACCATAACGTACTGGTCTATTATAAAAATTATTGTCTCAAAACAAGTGGACAGGACTGTACATATCATTACTTGTGTATGTCGATAAAACTGCTTGTATCTTCATAAAGACATACGAATTGAGTCATATTTCTGTTGTAGAAACTAAATCACTAATAAGTGAACGTAGTTACGTATTCCACAAAAATAGTATACCAAATATCTTCAGAACTACATGATAACTATAACTTCTTGTATATTATCTCTGATTTCGTTTTATCAGATATCGGAGATATTCGAACCATTCGATAGTTAGTTCTACTTAATTGTGTTGTGTTTTATTCCATATACTATATTAAATATTTGTAAAATTTGTAATTATGTACACGTAAGTTGTGACGTTTTACCTGGATATTCGTTGATTTTGCAGCCAATCGCAAGAGTCTTACCATCCGGTGAAAATGCCAAAGCCTTTATACTTTTTACATTGAACAACATAGTAACATCATCAGTACGTTTCCAAATTATCAAGTCTTGTCCAAAAGATGCTACAATTTGTCCATTCACCGACCAATCCACCATATTTGGATCTAGAAAATTATTAAGTGTTTAGAAAAAATTGCACAATATATATATATATATATATGAATTAGTTTATTGAAAAATATTTTGAATAGACAGCGTAAATAACTATCAAGTAAAACATCTTAAATATTACCGAACGTCGAATCAAAACCAGGGGAGTCGTGTGTGGTTTCAGCAAATGCTAGAGGTTTTGAACGCGGAATGCACCGCCAATCGTATTCACCACTATGTGTATCAAGGCTTCCAAGTATATTGGAGCGACTTTCCAATCCTTTTACTACTTGGTCACTAAGCTGTAGAATTCTTTCTTCTCTCAACTCAAATGACTTATTGATTGCAATCTTCAGACTATTTTGTCTCCAGTAATTAGCTGAAAAACGCTAAATGAGTAAATTTTGTTAAAAAATCATAATTTTTGTTCAATGGTACATTACATACTACTTTTAGAACATCTTTTTCCATATTCTTGGTTGCAAACTTAAGATTTTTGTTTAGGTGTTGGCAATAATATCGACGGGGTATAAATCGATCTCCATAAGATAGAGCAATCATATCGGGAAATGAGGTTCTGAGGTTCTAAATCGAAACAAAAGAAAATATGTTAACTTCTTCTACGCCGAATAATATATGTATACCCTTCACAGTTGCATTTATTATAGCAACTATATATGTACAACTAAATCTAAAATCCAACAAATACGTTTAGCCACGTTGCTTGATTTAAACTACCTTCATGTCGATTTAAGGTTACTTAATAAGGAAAACGATTTGATTGGTTAGTTTAAATGACAGCTGTATCTGTGGTCTGTACTTTAAAGTGAAAGGGATTTTTAATATTTATAATGTAGGTTTCTTTCCTACCATATTTAATATACATATATGTTGTCGCTTACACCATTGTTATTTATTTGGTCAAAAATACATCCTATTATTTGTCACAGGTGTCTTGATACTTGCTACAAATTTAAAGTCGGCTTCGACAGAATGATGAATTTTATGAGAACCTCAGAGATTAGATATAAATTCTTTGTTCACCTGCACAACCTCATTTTCCCATTGGCTGTCACGTTTTTTAATAGAAGACTCGGCCTTTCCAGATTTTAGATTAGCGATCATTTCAGCTTTAAAACAATTTCGAGTAGTACTATGTACGTTCATACCGATCAAATTAACATTGCTTTCGCGTTCTAAAAATATTTGATCAATAGTTGGTATAACAAAAGAGACCAATGAAAATGTTTACTAAGTCCAAAAGCCGTTAATAGACAGGACAGAGTTTCCTATTTTATATATATTATTTTATTATATTAAATAAATGTAGGTGAGTATAAAATAAACAACACTAGTCTATAGAAAATACTTTCATAAGTAATTAACTACAATATAGTAAACTTTTAATAAATTAGAATAAATGTATAAATTACAATATTAAGAAAAATTTCCTCAGAAACGCAGTATTTTTACACTCTCATAATTGTACAGTTTGTGCAATCAAGTGTGTACAAACCATATGCATGATAGCATATTTACATAGGTATATTTTATGTAGTATTTCCAATAGGTATGTACATACATATGTAAACATTCCCTGTTATAATCTCCATCATTTATTCATATTTCCATTAAACATAAAGTCGTCAACTATTACAGTACATAGACTCTACACTTCAATAAGTTAAGAAAACCAAAATCTCCAATCATTTTGTTTATTTCATTGCTTTGCTAGGCTTTTCCACTGCTATATTTTTGTAAGTTTAACATATTCGGGTAATCGTTATTCAAATAAGATAAAACGTAAACTTCGGCGGCAACGAAGCTATAATATCCTTCGCAGGTTCAAGTTTTCTTATAAGATCTTGATTTTGATAGCACAGTTGGTATAGCAGCTCTATATGTACGAATAATAACGAGAGTATTAGAAAAAAGGGGATCCTACCCCACTTGGTGAATCCCTTTATTTATTTGGGATGATTATTGGGCGGTTTGTGAGAGGGAGCTTCGAGGTTTGGGGTTTGGGGATTGTGGCCCCGGAGCGCTTCATTGTAAGGGAAAAGCAAGCTTTTGTTTGTTAAGTGCAAGTTTGTATGTACATTTTTGAAACCACATAATTAAATTAAATAAATAAATAAAGAAAAAAAAAGAAAGGAAAATAAAAGAAAAGAAAATAAAATAAAATACAATAAAAATAAATAAAAATAATAATAATAAAAAAAAAATTAAATTATATAAAAACAAATAAATTAAATAAAAAATAAAGAAATAAACTAAAATAAAGTTAACCGGAAGTTCGAAAATTTTTCTATTAGGTATATAGTATATTACGAGAATGAGGTATATAGGATCTGATCCAACCCATTTTTGGCACACGGGCATACTGATATCAGATAAATATTCTCTCTGAGTTTCTATAATATATCCCAAGGATTGACAGATATTTTCGATTAAAAGTTCGCAATAAGAATTAGGATCCATAATTTCGGTACCTGGGAGCTTAAATAGTTTTGTTTCGATTTATATAATTTTCGGTCATAAGCTGGCACACTTCAAAGTCAATATTCGTGCAATGTTTTATCCCGATACATTCATTGGTGTTTACTTTGTATACTGGAAAGTGAAAGAATCAATTGGATTTTAAAATTGTGTTACATTTGAAGTATTTGTGGTTGTAGTCCGCTATCACCAATTTTTACACTGCGGCATAAGAATGTGAGAATAATGCCACCTACCGAATTTGTTTAAAATCGGTAGAGCGGGTTCCAAGAAATGGGTTTCTACCTAAATGTAGGCAGTGCCACGCCTATCGTCCAATATTGACCACGGCTTCTATAAAGTACTCTCGTACTATCTCGGATGTAAAATTTCATGTCTTTGACGTATTGGGGAGGGGTTATCATCTCATGATCGTCCTTTCTTTTTTGCCATGGAACAAGTGCACAATATGTTGCAAGAGTATAAAAATATGGACTTAGCTCACAAATGGAAACGTTTTTGGCTATTATTTTTAACTTAAAAAAATTTGATGACCCTCCGTTTTTCTTTCACTTAAAAAACAAGTTTTTGGAACATATTGACCTTTCCGGTTTCCACAGCGCATGCGGAAAGACTTTTCTCTCAAATTAAGTTAAAAGTAAAACTCATAACCAGCTGGACACCAAAACTTTGAGTGGCACGAAAGATTATTTAAAAACAAACGACATTTTAAAACATTTAATAACTACAATTTACATACAATACTTAAGTAATAAAAATGTATAAACTTTTTAACATTTTGTTTGTTTATTATAATTTAAGTTATATAAGTTTTTATTTTATAAATTAATTTGAAGACTTACTTTTATTAAAATCTTTTAAAATGATATTTGTTTTGAAAACAGATTTTTTTCTTAACTTTGGTAGATTTTTGAAGATCCTTACATTAAGGATTTTTCTTGAAAATTTTCTGGCAACACTATCCTACATATATATCAGTGGTCGGCATGAGAGGAACTGCGACTGTGTAGGTGAGCATGAAATTAAGGACACCTAGGGAGAGCTCTGTTATCTTAAATTTTGTGAATCCTTATAATTTATATATTGTGCGATTAAAATAAATATATTATACCCTAAAAACCTTCGCTTTCTTGTCTTTAAGTAAAGTAAAACACAAAATGTAATTCATAATCTTAAGCATTCATAATGACAAAGAATTTCATGCAGGGCACATTTCGCTTAGCGGCTTGACCATGTATGAATATGTTTCGACAATGACTAAAGTTAGAACCAGTCCCCGACGTTCCACCCGTATTAAACAAAATTTGTCAAAAGTTATGCCCGTAGTGGCAACGCAGAAATCAGTTGTTCTGTTTTGTTTTCATTTCACCAATGTTGTCATTGCTCAATTTGTATACATAAATTTGCACACATTTAGCTTTTCAGATATCATTTTTTATAATGTAAAAACTCAAAACTAAAATCCAACTCTTAAAAATATTCTACCTTTATATTTAAAAATAATTATATTCGACTGTAATTTTGAGATAGTTTAAGAATTTTTCAAATATATTCAAGTTTTTATTTTAATTACTACAAAATATCGAGAATACCTGGATTGTAAGAGAGCAATCACCTATCTCGTGAGAATAATCAGCTAATTCGTTTCTACGGAAAAAAAATCAAACGGCCTAGAAAGCTAGGCGATAGAAGTAAAACTTCATGGATCTCGTTAGGCTCTTGAAATGAAATACTCACCCTAGCCAGCAAGTTTTATGAGATAGAATGTTTCCGACACTAATAAAATTATTTTTTTCTGACAAAACGTTGACAAAAACCAAATGACAACTTTGGCGACATACATACATAGCAGCTCGCATACATATAGACTTCAATTTCCGACTTTTAGCATCGTTGCATGCGAGGTGAATAATAGGATCAATTGTAAAATTGAAATTTAGCTGATTCTTCAATATTACTGAAACCATTCACAAATTCAATTTCATTCATTTTTATTTAAACTTCATTTTCGCGCATTTGCGGTAGGATTTCCATATAAAAACCAAATTTGGTTGACCAGGCGCACAGAAAAAAGAGCGCAGTGCAGAGTTATAAGCGATCGCACTTCGTTTTGTAGCATAGGCGCGTTCCTTATGATTGAATTTGAAAAATGTAGGGCGAGCTTGCTCGAATCTTATTGGGCGTCTTCGATTTTTTTGTCGCTTGCGCCAATGCTTACTTTTTTACAAATAGCATATTGAGGGACATACATACATATGTACGTATGTGTACATATATGCAAATATATTTGGACATGCGAATGAAGGAAAGGCAATTTGAAGAATATTCACATACAAATTGTTAATTTGAAAGAAGTACACGACGAAAGCTACTTATTGCAAATTTACATCAAATATATTGCCTGAGTTCAAATCCTATCACAGGAGTTGTTTTATTCCTTTTTTAATTTTTATAAACCTTTTTTATTACATTTATTTTAATTTAATTTTAATTTTTCCCTCATTATATAAATGTTATTCAAAACTTATTATTGATTTTTGTTATTCTAATTTTCCTTGATACGCATGCCAAAGAACATCTGCGTATATATTAGCCGTTAGTTAATAAGGTGGTGAAAATTTGCTTGGTACCTTCTTAGAGTGGGGTAGTTTGTTGAGTTCGCCTTTAAAGAGCGGAGGGTTCCTTTTTGACGTGGTGTAATTTAATTTTCAAATTTGCGCGTTTTCGATGTTTCTTTTTAATTATTTACATTTTAGCACATCTAACTTTTGCGCCTTCTCCATTTATTACTGTCGATTTTTCGTTTCATTCGATACTGGAATTACAGCCCAACGAGCGCAAAGAAGTTTCACTTCAAAAATCAAATTTTCACGGATATCCCACCCTATGGTCGATATAAACGATGGTTAGTATTCATTTACATTGTGCTCTCATAAGATAGGTCGTATTAGCTGATTTGGTCTACGGTTTTACGTCAGTGACTGTTTCCAGCATAATAGCACATTAGGGTTGGGCATGACAAGGCTACCAAAACTGAATGAAATACTCATATAACTAATTACAAATATTCGTACAGTACCCGGAGTAATGGTCACTACAGTAAATAATATCTTTAATTTTTTTTTCATTAATTTTTAATCAATGTGTGGTATATATCTTGGATGAATTAGGTTCAACAATTTGACATTTTTATTATTAATTTGAATATTTTAAACAAACGAGCTACAATAAAAAATTTTCAAAAATAGATATAAGCGAAACATATTAAGTTTTGCATAAAATTCTAATATAAATAAATAATAAGTACGTACATATGTTTGCAACAATAAGTAAAATAATATCAACAGAATTCACCTACATTTACAAGCGTAAATAGTCCCATCACATCTTCGATCAATAAGCTACTTGAGACAATTCCACGATTTAAATACGGGACCAAACTTAGAATTCAATTCACGTGTATTTTGTTTCCATATATTCGGACCGTATTCTGTCCTCTTTTCGGAGCAAAAGTTCCATATTGTTAATGTTTCATCATTGCCAGATGTCGCCAATCTGGTTCCATCAGGGCTCCACACCACGAAACGTACTCCACTTTCCGGAATGCATAGCAAATCTACAACACGATTCAAGGAAGACATGACGAGTATTTTAAAATCCCAGCAACCATCGTCACCTTTAAGAAACAAGTTCAAAATTGTTTTTACACTGTATTGATACAAAACGCTCCTGCTGAAAATTTATTTGAAGTAAAGCAAATGTTAAATCATATAATATTTAAAAATATAGTGTAAGGGAAAATTGACAACCAGTTAATTTTAAACAAGATGAGTCATACCTTTATCTTTCTTGACATTTTCTTCTTTCTTTCTTATCATTA